CGGCTCCCTGCCATCGCGGTGGGCGACCGCCGCAAGCCCCCCGCCATGCCCGGCGGTTGAGCGACGGCGGCTTTCGCCCGGAGGCGTCCTTGGGTTGGTGGTGTTGTTGGAAGAAGGAGCAGGTGGAAGGAGGAAGGACCGAGTAGCGGGCGGCCTTCCTCAGCCCCGCCTCCCCCGGCCTGACCCCCCTCCAGCTGTCCCCGGTTGCCCCCCCTCCCCACAGCCGCTTGGCCACAGGGGTGCAGACCACCGAGTAGGGAGAGACCTCCTGCCGAGAGACAAAACCGTGAAAATATGGAATAAAAAGAGGAACAAGGAGCAGAGTGAACACGAAACAATCCTACGTCAATCCTTTAGTCCCAGCGCAGCTCCAAAAAGGACGACAAATACGCGTCTTGATGCCGCGCCGCTTTTTGGAAACAACCTTTCTTCTTTCCCACGAGCCTTTCAGCTGTTACAACAGGCCAGCGGATGATTTGCCCTGCGCCCCCCTGCCCCACACCCCGCCCTGCCCCTCAACCCCGCCCTGCCTCTCACGCCGCTTTATTAGCGTTTCTGACTAGAAAGCCCCGGACCAGTTCCCGGCGCCTGCGCCCACCTGCTGCGTCTGCGGGGTGGAGGCCGTCTGCTCCGTCTTCACCTTGGACACGAGGGGGAGGGGCGTCAGGCAGGAGGCGGGCCTCCCCGCGGCCGGGGCGACTGTCGTCTGGGTGACGGGACTCTGGGGCTGGGAGGGCGGGGTCTCCTCGCTGTGGAGGCCCTGGGAGTCACAGCTGGGAGACGACACCTGACGAGCACATGGAGCCTGTGAGTGATTCTGCTCATCGGCTCCAAAGATCAAAATCAATACTGATTTATTGTACGTATGCAAATTGTACACATCTTTTGCAATTACTGAAAGTACGTGAACGAATTTGGAATCCGGATGAGTGACGGAGTAATGACCTGTCAATCATCGTTTAGCCCCACCCTAAAGCATCGTTATGTTCTCATAGACGTCTATGGGAGCAGAGGAGTCGCCCCCTGCTGGTCACTACAGAGAAGTAGAGTCATTTCCTCATAGACGTCTATGGGAGCAGAGGAGTCGCCCCCTGCTGGTCACTACAGAGAAGTAGAGTCATTTCCTCATAGACGTCTATGGGAGCAGAGGAGTCGCCCCCTGCTGGTCACTACAGAGAAGTACAGTCATTTCCTCATAGACGTCTATGGGAGCAGAGGAGTCGCCCCCTGCTGGTCACTACAGAGAAGTAGAGTCATTTCCTCATAGACGTCTATGGGAGCAGAGGAGTCGCCACCCTGCTGGTCACTGCACAGAATGCAGCTTTAACACGTGAACAAGTGTGGATGATGTCTCTGCTAAACTTACAGTTACACAATGATGCTTCTAATGATGTTAACATGATAATCAAGGTAACGATCAGAGATGTTTCCTTGTGTCACGGTTAGAAGTATAATTGTCATCGTCCTCGTTCATGTTCATACAACCATGTGCGTGATTAAATGAAGTTGCTCTCCTAGATCTCTTAAACACGCTGCATTGATGCATTTAACTTTCCAAATGAGTAAATGGGGTTAAATAACTCCTGGGAGAAGCCCGTCTGATGAGCGGCAGGAAGCGCTGCCATGTTGCTTAACATCCATCACTCCACGCGTAGCTGCTGCCGCGTCCCCTCCTCGGGCTGGAGGTGTTAAAGAGTACTTTCAAGAAAATCACTTTTTCCTCGTCAATATGCAGATTTATGCAGCGCAGCACTCGAGATCTAATCAGATCATCTGCTGCTCTTATAGAGGGGAGCTCTTGGTGTCAGAACAACGACTCGATTAATCTCCCCGAGATGAACAAACCGTCCACAAACCGGAGACGGCCTCAAGACGCTGTTACCGTCGGGGGGGGGGGGGGGGCGTTGGCGGTTGCCCCCTGTTCCCAGCGCTGGTTTGTTCCCGCTCACCCTGGGGAAGAACTCGGGGCCTTTCTCCATGATCTGCTGGATCTGCAGGAAGCCGGCGGTGTACATGAACAGGAACTGGTCCCCCACGTTCATGCTGAGGCGCCCCGTGTAGCAAAAGGCCAGGATCTGCTGGAAGCTCTGCGGGTGCACGGGCGGGGGGAGCTCCACCACCGCGCTCTTCCCGCCGGGGTTGGACAGATTCCGGAAGTAGGAGCTGCTGGGCGCCAGCACGGCGCCGGTGGGCCTGATGGGGGGGGGGACACCACGAAGCAAATGAGGTGTTGGAACATGCTGATTTCTTGACTGTGAGCCACCTTTGTGACAAAAAAAAACAACCAGGGTGGCGAGAAAGCCTGGACAACGGGAGCTCCGCCTGGCAGTCAACACGCTCTCTGATGGCGACGGGGAGACAATCCAAACCGATTAATTTCTCTGATGGAAGGACCGGTTTCCAGATGCAGCTCGTTAAGAAAAGAAGCCAAGGTTCTAATAGCAGCCTTACAGTTCTAATTGTAGGGAGCAGCAGCAACGCCGAGGTTTTGTTCCCATGCCGAGAGAGGAGTCCAGACGGGAGTTCACACAATCTATTCTGGTCAGATTTAAAGCACACGACCACCCGACTCCCATTTCCCTGTGAAAACGATTGATTCCTGCATCTCGTCCGCTTCCTCTGCGTGCGGCTAATCAGGTTTTACTGCAGCGCTCACAAGCTACCGGGAGAAATGTGGGCAACACAAAAGGAAAGTATCTGCAGAAACATAACAGGTTAAAAGATCTCCAGCCGGCCTGTGGTCAGTTGATATAAATAACGCTACACGTCCTTCAGCTGTAATGTCCCAGTGAGATGGACAGTGCTGTCTCGTCTCGCTGGTCCTAATATTTGAAATGTTTGATGGCTCCTCCTGTGTTTATATCTGTTTACAGAAACAGAATCGTCCGGTTGACGGAGGCTGTGGACGACCAGCTGGACGTCCCGCCGCTAACAGCCGTGTGGAGACGGACATTAAGTCCACTTGAGACAATGCTAAGCTGACGCCGCGGAGCACGCGGCCTCTCGGCCTCGGCGGCGGGCGAGAACCGACCTTGAAGGCGTGTCCCTTGACGACCACGGAGACGTCGCAGTAGAGGCCCTGCAGCCGCTGCTCGTTCAGACACTCCAGGATGTTGTTGCCAAAGTTGGGGATCGCCATCTGCAGCGTCTGAGCCATAACGCTCGGCCCGGCACCACGGGGTCTGCAGGAGGCACAGAGGGGGGGGGGGGTGTTAAACACGGGGCGCATTATCTTCACAATAACCTGATTGGTAATTAAAACCAAAAGATGTGAAAAGGGTCATAATGTCCTCTGTGAGCACTGAAGCCACCCGCGCCTCACACACTCATTTTACTGGACGGCACTTGAAGGCATCGTGGAGCAACTCCGAGCAGGACTGTTCGCTTCCTCTCCTCCCTCTGACTCGGATTTGAACCCATCCCCGGAGGTGTCTTGCTCAGGGACACTTGGACATGGAGCAGCCGGGGCTCGAACCGCCAACCTTGCGGTTCCCGGGCTATTTGATCGGTGCATAAACGGATCGGAACAACACTTTGACGTTAATGAAGGAGCAAATGAATGAAGAGTAGCCGGTCCGCCTTAAAGGTCCGACCACCTTCAGAGACCCACAGCTGTCGCTAACTTTTTTCATTTTAGCCACACTCGGTTCTCAAGGAACTTCGGTGACATATCAGGTTGCCGCGGCAACGTTACGCACCTTTCCGCTCCGCGACACAAACACCTTTCCCACTCAGAGGCAAACTGAACTAACGTTCGTTAGGAGATTTAATCCTTGACGTGTGAGTCGGTGTACGTGATGTTCTGTGTGTTACATCACGCCGTGACTTCAGGACCTCAGTCGGGTCGACGCGGCTCCTCACTCCACCCGGTCAGGTGGAGATAACCGACGGAGGGAACCCAGTGGGACGGATGATGGAGGAGTAATGAGAGGAGAATAAAGAATGAAGGAGAGGCAGACAGAGCTGAGGAGGAGGAGGAGGAGGAGGAGGAGGAGGAGGACTTCCATCCAAGCGTGATGATTAACGACTAAACTTGATTCCAAACTTCAAAATGAAAGCGAATGTTACATAAGGAATCTCTTTCCTTGTTTCATTACATCTAATTCACAGTTAATAACCGTTTGGTGGGTTTTTGGCCTACTTTGTTGTCGTCGCTCCTCCTCGGTTACGTAACTCGTCTGTTTCACTCTCCTCCTTCATCATCCGGCAAAGCGGGCCGAGATCAGAGGAGGAGGAAGAGGAGGGGGAGGAGGAGGAGGAGGAGGAGGGGGAGTCCAACGTGTGACAGACTAACAAACGGGATGCTTTTGGCTGGACTCTTATTTCTGTCTACAAAACGCACAAAATGTCACAGATCGACTTTGATGTAAAATGATTCCACGCCCACAAATTGGTCTCACAAAGCAGAGCTGATATTTACTTTCATTTCGCACCGATTTTAAATCTGATGAGAGATTTGTTGCTTTACAAGTGAGAGAAACGTTGCCGAGTGTTTGTTGTGTGTGTGTTTGTTGTGCTTTCAGCAAAGGGTCCCGATCGGAGACCCGTCCAAACGGTGACGTCATCGGCACACGACACACATGGTGACATCCGACAACGTTTCTGTGTTCTTTTCTTTTAGTTTGGTAATTAAATGGCCGGCGTTGCCAGAGCGACTGACGCGACGAGGAAACCGCCCTTTGCTTTCTGGACTCTAATCGCGTGTGGACAACCAGTCGGCGTTGGAGGTGTTCACGTCTGATCTGAACAAGTCGGTGATTCATTTGAATGAATCCAGGTGAATTATGTTCATGTTATTATACAGCATTAATGACAAAAAGGTTGGATTTAAATCAATATTAATACACTGCTTTATTCCCTTTGAGACAATAACATAAACTTCTGATGGTCAATGATGATCTTTAAGTATCAGCAGCAACACATGATCAGAGACATAAACGTAGTCTGTCATTTTAAACAGCTTCAGAACTAAAAGGAGCCGCTGCAGAGTCGAGACAAATGACCAGTGCTGTTAAATAAAGCCGCCGCATCAGAAGAGATCCAGAAGACCGGAGGCCGAGCGGCTCCTCCATCCAGACGCTTGACCCCAAATGACCCGACCGTCCAGCTGGGCAGCATGCCAATCAGTGTATGTCAACGGGGGGGCCAGCGGCATGCAGCACACGGGCCCCTTCACCGCGTCACGTTTAATTCATATAAAAAAGGATTTCAAATACTTGAAAGCACCGGAATAAACAGGCGGGTGTCTGCAACACGTCTGGAGTGAAAGTTCTACATCCTCATTATATATTTGTTTCTTATATTGCACCAATACAACAGGTCAAATCCCTCTACGTGTAACACATGTGCCCATAAATGGCTCCCGATGCTGATAAAACCAAAATGTTAAAAAAGCTCATTATGACATCATCACGCCAGCGGTCACATGACATAACTATTTACATGTTACGCGTCACACGAATAAACAAACGCCCCGACCTTTGCTTCTTCATAAAATACAGATGCAGAGGATCCTCCTCACGCTGCACACAAACGCACAAAGCGGCAGAGCACCTGGTGGACGTGAAGCGGCGTGCGCGCTCAGCTGACTTCCCCCATTTAATAAATAGAGGGGGGGGCGAGTGGGCCTAACGCGTCCCGGGCTGCAGACAAACGGCCACGTAAGGAGGCCCATCGGCATTTCATCAGGATTCATTTCATCAGCCTTCTGAATTAATTATACGTGTAATAGATGTGGACTCACACGGCAACGGCGGCAATGACGGGATCCGCATCTCTGCAGCTTCATCAGCCGTTAGAAGACGTCAATTAAAATATTTAGTTTGAGTTCTAATTGTGAAGACTGCCATTATTAACTAATTATGATTAGTTCATTGAAACATTCTGTACCACAGAAAAAACAAACAATTAAGATGGCAGACGGTGCTGATGGGACTGAGAGCGCTTTGTACATTCTGATTCTGAACTCTAAACGCGGTCATCTCCAAAACACTGCTAGTGCCCGAGTGTATAAACTCGTTTTAACTACTTGTTCAAAATCAATAGTGCTTCTAGTAAACTGGCCATTGGCCGTGACACATTATTGTACCTCAACAGTTTGTGTCGATGTAAAGAGATCAAAATGCATTGCATCAATTATGCAATATTATCCAACTGAAGTGGCTCAGAGGGGCATTTTCTCAGTGCATTCTGGGTATTATGCAGGGTCGGCTTACATGCGTTACTCCTACGTTAACTATTACAACGAGATCTAAATGCCCACGAGGATTTTGGTCGTCATCAAAAAACAGGTTATAACACCGGCGTGCGACGACAGCGAGAGGAAGCAGAAGAAAAACAGCTGGATTTCAACTCTGACAAAGTGCTCAGTCTGCCTGTCTTCTCCCTAACATCTGCCCCCCCCCCTCCAACAAAGGCCTCCCGGTGGAGCTTCTGTGGCTGTTTCCACGCGTGAACACGTGCGATCACATAAACAATCAGGAACGACACGCTCCCCTCCGTACGCACGCCGGCAGAAACCTCCAGAGCTGCTATTTTCCGTCGCCCCGACATCCCTTTTCCTTTGAGACAATCAATCCGATTTAAGACATCCTCCCGGCCACCTTTCCCTCCTCTCAGGTCAGAGGTCACAACAGCTTCCAGGAGACATAAAAGGGGAGTTCATTCACACCACTTGACCTTTGCCCCGCAGCCCCCATGTGAGCTATTATGTGCTTTCTGTGTGGGCTGCTACGTCTCTGCGTGTGTGTGTGTGTGTGTGTGTGTGTGTCCTTGACAACCGTAAAAAGTTCATCTCCAGAGGTGGTTCTGCTGTGTTTACTGCGTGCACGCGGACACACACACACACACACGCGCGCGCGCTCCCGCTAACAGCAGAATGCAGTGAAAAAGAACAAAGTGACTCGATGGCCGCAGTAAACTAGCCGACATTTATTTGATAAACCACTTTGAACGCGCCGCGTGTGACATCAGCATCGATCACGAGTGATCGAACGGGGCTTCCTGGTTTGGGAGGTTGAAAGGTGGCCTGTTAGCAGGTAGCAGGCTAACGCTACAAGCTAACGCCCGTG